AATGCGACATTCCCCCCTTTTCCTTGTGTTGTAGCACGGAGAGCAGGATCAGGGATGGATGGATGGAGCCTGTCCACGGGTTTAACCTGTGTTTAACGTGTTCTGTGGCTCTTCCCCCCCCTCCAAGGGGTACAGATCCTGCTCAGCGCTCAGGTTCTCCCTGGAAACAAGGTTCAGGGATCTCGGGAAGAGCACACGTTGGGATCACGGGAGCTGGGTTCCCGGCTCTCGTGGTGGGATCTGCCTGTGGAGATTGGAGTTCGATCCATTCCTTCCCTCTCCTGAGGGAAAAGAAGGGAGCTTTGAGGGGAGATGGAGTGTGTGAGGTCTCCATGGCGTGGGGTTGGGAAGCATCCCACCAGTGGTGGATCCATACGGGAGCAATTCCTCCCTCCTGGAATGGTTTAATCACCATTCAGCCCAGGTTTGGAACAGGCTGAAGTCCTCCTGTGAGTAAATCCTTCCCAGGCTGGAATCTGGAATCGGAGGCATTTAGGAACACTGCAGCCTCAAGGAAAAGACCATTCCCATTTTTCAGCATTTCTTATAGAGGCGTTATTCCAGTATCTTGGATACCTACGGGTGTATGTGTGGTTTGTGTCACCTCTAAGGTGGGAGATTACATCTTCTTTCCAAGCTTTCCATAGTAGTGACCAGAACATCCAGCCCGGGGGCCAAAGCAAAGCCTCAAAGGTCTCCTTTTGAGGGAATCTCGTTCCAAATGGAAGGATTGGGAATGGTGGGGTTTGATGCTGAGCACTGGGATTGCCTGTGGTGGGGGATTGGAGTGAACCTGGTGGCGGAGGCAGAGGATGAGGATGATCTTCATCTACCCGCAGCTCCTGGCGCTTTTGCCTCTCTTGTGGCAGGGCTTTGGGAACTCCGGGAGTTCCCAGGGAATGCGAGGGGCTGGGATCACCCCCTGCAGCCGCTGGGGGTGGGGGAACCACGACCTCTATGAGAGAGACTGGTCAAGCCAAGGCCCGTGAGTCAGTCCTGTTGTCACCGAGGCCCCGGGGATCAGCTGCTGGGTCAGAACCCACCAGGGCTCCTACATCTCCCTTCTAACCCCCGTTCCCATTCCTCACTCCAGGTGGTTGTTTGGGCAGCCCAGGCCATGGTGCAGGATTTGAGGAGGGGGCTCTGGGGAGAAAACACCCCCCAACTTCATCCCTTTCCTGAGGCCAATAGGATGCGTTTGGCCTCAGTTCACTGCATCTTCTCCTTTGGCTCCGCGAGCTGCTGCTTCCGCAGCCCTTTACCTGGTCTGAGCAACAGGAGGAGCCTCTGTTGGGTTGGGAGGGGACAGGGGGTCTCTCCTGCTGCAGCTCCCTCCTCCCTGTGTCCTCCACATGCAGCACAAGAGCTGCCGGAGGCTCTGGAGTCAGGGCGATGCTGAGCTCCTTTGATAGCGATTATCCAGGGAAGCACCGGTTTGATTCGGCATCGAGGGTCCCTTCGTGTTCAGGAGGGGGCACTTGTCCCCTTTGCTGCTTCAGCTTGGATTGCAGAGGTGGCCTGCACGCTGCGTGCACAGGAACACAAGCAGGAGCTTGGGAAAGCCCACTTTGAATGGGAAAACCTCTTGGGAATAAGCAGCTAAATGGGAAGGAGAAAGGAACAAGGAGCAGCGGGAGCGGATGGGTGGCTGTAACCTTACTGCGGGCACCAGGAGGAGAAACCTGGGCTTGGGCTAATCCTGTTACCATTCAGGTTCCCAGTGCCAGGCTGGACCAGCTTCCCAACATTCCCTATACCACCTTCCTGTTGCTTCCAGATTACGGGAAATTGGAGTCCTGGTCCTGCCTTTTCAGTGGAAGAATCTAAACAAGCACATTTGGAACGCTTGGAGGGACGTTCCGAAGCCAAAATGGTAAGAGTTGGAGCGGGAAGGTTTGGGCTGACAACTTCCTGAACTCTTTCCAATCATTCCCAAATCCCTTCCCAGCGCCCCATGCGGATCTTTGTTAATGATGACCGGCACGTGATGGCCAAGCACTCGGCCGTGTACCCGACGCAGGAGGAGCTGGAGGCGGTGCAGAACATGGTATCCCACACGGAGCGGGCGCTCAAAGCCGTCTCCGACTGGATCGATGAGCAGGAGAAAGTGAGCGGGGAGCAGCCCGAGCCGGAGGCCATGGAGACGGCGGCCGAGGAGGAGAACAAGGAAGGGGGGTAAGGAGCAGGGGTGCTGCAGCCTTGTCAGCACCACGGGTGCAAATGATGGCATCTTCGGCCGTGGATGGGTGAGAATCCACTGGTTGAAGGTGGAAAAGGTGTTTTCCTTCCCTGTGGAATGAAGAGGAATTGAGGTCCCTCCCCAGCGTGGAAGCGCTGATTCCCATTTGGGTATAGTGAACCCCCCAGTGGGGATCATGCGGGATCCTTATGGATCTGTCCCCTAGCTCAGCTTTAAGAGCGTTGTGCTTCCCAGTGAATTCTTCCCATCCCATAACCACACCCGTGTATCCGCAGGGACCAGAAAGCCACGGAGCAGCTGACCAGGACCCTGCGGGGGGTGATGCGTGTTGGGCTGGTGGCCAAAGGCCTCTTGCTGAAAGGGGACTTGGATCTGGAGCTGGTTCTGCTCTGCAAAGATAAACCCACCACGGATCTCCTGGAGAAAGTAGCTGACAACCTCGGAGTCCAGCTTGCTGTGAGTGTGTTGGGTTGTGTTGTGGGGAGGGTTGGACACTGACCTGTGCTGGGAAGGGAATCTCCATGGGCATGTATCATGGAATGGTTTGGGAAGGGAGCTTAAAGCTCCTCCAGCTCCAACCCCCCCCCCGGGCAGGGCCACCTTCCACTAGAGCAGGTTGCTCCAAGCCCCTGTGTCCAACCTGGCCTTGGACACTGCCAGGGATGGGGCAGTCCTTCTCAGGGCTCAATCCAGTTTGTGCTGGGATTGCCCTAACTCGAGGGCAGAACCTTGCCCATGGCCTCCGTCAGGTTCACATGGTCCCAACTCTCCAGCCTGCCCAGGTCCCTCTGGATATACCAGTATATACCGTGGAATTCCCTTGTTAACCTTCCTTTCAGTAGCTGCACCCCTGTTCCGGGGCCTTGCTGTGGATTGGAGGTGGTGTTGGGAGGGCAATGGCTAAGAGCCTCCATCCCCTCGGTTAAGAGCCTCCATCCCCTCGGTTAAGAGCCTCCATCCCCTCGGTTAAGAGCCTCCATCCCCTCGGTTAAGAGCCTCCATCCCCTTGCAGGCTATTACT